TGGCTTCACATGCTATATGCTGCAGTCGGAGCTGTCGGAGCTGTCGTTTACACGCTGGTGAGTTCAATGAAAAGTTGACATTTCTCTTAAACCAACCAGTATGAAATTAACCATTTTTATTTTGCCGTTTTTAGCATACAACACCCAGCTACTCATCGGAAACCGTGAACTTTCCATCAGCCCAGAGGAGTATGTTTTTGGAGCACTTTCAATTTATGTTGACATTGTCCAGATCTTCATTTTCCTCATGCAACTAGTTGGCGCTTCCACAGAATAAAGGCAGGAGGATGACATATGACCTGGTGTGGATCATACTTCTATTGTATTTATTCACCCAAACTGTCGGTGCTCATACATCATGCATCGCAGTGTTGCGGTGTCACTACAGCCTGGGGTTCGATCCCAGGCTGTGTCACAACCGGCTGTGACCGGGAGTCCCATAGGGCGGCGCACAATTGGCAGAGCGTCGTCCGGGTTAGGGGAGGGTTTGCCCGGGGCGGCTTTATTTGGCTCATCGCACTCTAGCAACTCCTTGTGGCGGGCCGGACGCCTGCAGGCTGACTTCGGTCATCAGTTGAACGGTGTTTCCTCCGACACATTGGTGCCGCTGGCTTCCGGGTTAAGCGAGCGGGTGTTAAGAAGCGCGGTTTCGGAGGATGCATGACTCAACCTTCGCCTCTCCTGAGCCAGTTCGGGAGTTGCAGCGATGTGACAAGATCGTAATATCACGAAAAAGGGGATACCTTTTTTGTTTTAAAGAAACCTCATCAATCTACACACAATAGCCCATAATGACAAAGCGAAAACAGATTTTTTGAGATGTTTGCTAATTTATAAAAAAATAAAATAACTTATTTACATAAGTATTCAGACCCTTTGCTATGAGACTTGAAATTGAGCTCAGGTGCATCCTGTTTCCAATGAAACAGGGAGGTGACCAAGAACCCGATGAGATGGAGATGGGAGAACCTTCCAGAAGGACAACCATCTCTGCAGCACTCCACCAATCAGGCCTTTATGGTAGCGTGGCCAGACGGAAGCCACTCCTCAGTAAAAGGCACATGACAGCACGCTTGGAGTTTGCTAAAAGGCACCTAAAGGACTCTCAGACCATGAAAAACAAGATTCTCTGGTCTGATGAAACCAAGATTGAACTCTATGGCCTGAATGCCAAGTGTCACATCTGGAGGAAAACTGGCACCATCCCTACGGTCAAGCATGGTGGTGGCAGCATCATGCTGTGGGGATGTTATTCAGCGGCAGGGACTGGCAGACTAGTCAGGATTGAGGGAAAGATGAACAAAGCAAAGTACAGAGAGATCCTTGATGAAAACCTGCTCCAGACCTCAGACTGGGGTGAAGGTTCACCCTCCAACAGGACAACGACCCTAAGCACACAGCCAAGACAACGCATGAGTGGCTTCGGGACAAGTCTCTGAATGTGGCCCAGCCAGACCCGGGACTTGAACCCAATCAAACATCTCTGGAGAGACCAGTGGCGGCTCCTGAAAAAATTCTCAGGGGGGGCAATTTTTCTGATGATTTAGGTGACCTACACACATTTTAAAAAAGATATGTCCAGCAACAACATGAAGACAGGGGCAGCATATAAGTCAATACCAGAAGCATTTATTGACTGATCTCAAAAGTGTTGGCTTACCAGGGTTGGTGGAGCCCTCAGTTTCATCTTTGCCTCGCAAAGCTAACTCAAACACTCCGCAAAACTTCACACACTGGATTAGCCGGCTGAGGATGTGGCGGTTCTTGCTAATGTCGTAGTAAATATATTTGTTATAGTGAATATGGAATATGATATGTTGAGTAAAATGTTGTGCTAAGATCTATTTAGGTCAGGAGCTGGTTATAAGTTCTGTTCCTATCCAATAACAATGGACAAAAGGGTCCTATCTTGTCAGCCTTGTCAGCAGGTGGCCAAGGACAACACCCACGCCATAGGCCTCTCAGTTCTTCCAACTCACGAGTTCTTGCTCTGAGGACACACACACACACACACACAAACACACACACACACACATCATCACTGTTAAACACACACACACACACACACACACACACACACACACACACACACACACACACACACACACACACACACACACACATCATCACTGTTAAACACACACACACACACACACACACAAAAATCCCCTCTCTTAGGCTGAACATTTGAAGACAGAGAACCCGACTCAGAGCCAATGCAACAGTGACAGTAGCCTGGAGGGGACCTCGCCCAACTCATCAGGACCAATCAGAAGATCAGAACTACTAGATTCAACCTACTTCATTTATTGCATAAAATGTCTGCACACAATGTTTCGGGGCTCTCTTCAGATAATAATAATAATAATAATAATATGCCATTTAGCAGACGCTTTTATCCAAAGCGACTTACAGTCATGCGTGCATACATTTTTGTGTATGGGTGGTCCCGGGGATCGAACCCACTACCTTGGCGTTACAAGCGCCGTGCTCTACCAGCTGAGCTACAGAAAGTGGATACTCATGGATGCGCATCGCAATTGTAAAATGTCAACACAATTGGAGACACCACGTCATTTTTGGAGACATGTTATTGACAGTAAACTATTGTAGATGCGACTGCTAACTAAATAAAACATTTTAGCTGGCTAGCTAATCATCTTAGCTAAATGTGGGGCAAACAATTCAGTTATTTACCGTTAATTTGAGGGATTGGGGTGAAAGAAATCGAGTTACATAGTGATACTTTACGATATACTGTATTGACAATATCGCAATATTTTAGCGCTAGTTGGCTGTACCTGCACCAAAACACCATTATTGTTCCTTCATAGCTTGTCCTCAATCTTTTCACATTGGGAGCCAATTTGTTTTCAGCACTTTTATTTCCATGACTGATCAAAACTCGTTCTCATGGCTTTCTGATCCCTCTGCAACAGACATATGGTGCGCAATAAAATCACAGTATCGAATCGCAATACGTATAGAATCATGAGACTCGCAATGCATATATCTTATCGTGAGGTTCCTGGCAATTCCCAGCCCAAGTTCATTTGCCACAACAAATCTCTTCGCTAGCAAACGCGATGTCTTCTCCAAAACGGCAATGTGTCTCCAGCAATGTTTACTTTTTTGACGTTCTATGGCATCTCCACTTTCCAAGCATATATGACCACATGTAATATTTTGGTAAGTGATGCAAATAGTGAACTATGTAGGGCCAGGATGTAAAATATATGTAGCTGCAGCAATTTCTCTTATCTGATATGGTAAGTAATGGGGCTTAATGTATAGCTCCCTAAGAGTTTGACGAACGGGTCCGTGCACGCGATTCCAGATATCTTTACCTCTGAATAAACTGCCTTTATTATACCATATCCACCCTGTCCAAAGTCTCTACTTGGTCTCAGTTCTCCAGTAAACTTGTGATTATCAACACTAACCTCATCGTTGTGGCGGCGGACAGCTAGCCTGTATCCCTCATCCAGTTGAGTGGCAATGTTATTTTTTTGTTCGTACCAATTTTTGGAAAATCCTCGGGTGTAGGACTTTCCGCCTTTAGTAGAAACCTGTTGAATTATTAAATTTGGTCTGGGAGGTCCTAATTGTTTCGTTGCCAATTTATCTTAATTTGTTCGCCGACAAAAAGGAACTTCTTTCAAAGACACAATCCGCTCTTTTCTTAGTTACGTTCATGGTTACGTTACGTATGACGAAAGCGCGTAAGTGCAAGCCCTCAGACACCCATAGAGATTGTATTGAAAGCTCTGAAATTTGAAAAAAATAGATTTTACATGGGAGTCTATGACAGACTTCTGGGCGATTTTCAACCTGACTGAAATCGCCCCAAAAGGGGGGGGAGCCATTTGAAGCACGACTTTAGCCTGATTGGACATTACAACACTGATAACTACTGTTGCCGTGATATAATTGATTAGAAAAAAAATCCCTTCCTTTTCCCGTTTGGCAGTGCGTCGCCCATATCGCCCTATTGAACACACCGCCCCTGGGAGAGACCTGAAAATAGCTGTGCAGCGACACTCCCCATCCAACCTGACAGAGCTTGAGAGGATCTGCAGAGAATGGGAGAAACTCCCCAAATACAGGTGTGCCAAACTTGTAGCGTCATACCCAAGAAGACTCGAGGCTGTAATCGCTGCCAAAGGTGCTTCAACAAAGTACTGAGGATAGTGTCTGAATACTTATGTAAATGTGATTTTTAACTTTGTTCAAATATTTTATGCAAAAACTTATAAAAACCTGTTTTTGCTTTGTCATTATGGGGAATTGTGTGTAGACTGATGAGCGGGAAAAAAACAATTTAATCAATTTTAGAATATGGCTGTAACGTAACAAAATGTGGAAAAAGTCAAAGGGTCTGAATACTTTCCGATTGTACTGTATGTGATACACTGTAGAAAGGGATGAACTTTTTTTTAGATATATATTTCTGATTATCAGAACCTCTCCTTAATCAAGACAATTATATAATCAGAAGGTTCCTATAGTCCTGCAGTTTGGTCTGTGAAAAAGCAATTATTCCATAGGGACTTAATTACAACCCAATCACCAACCTAACTGATTTAGGATGGAATAGAGGTGGGAAGCAATGAAAAAGGCATGTTCTCATATACAGCTTATCAGTGTATGGACTTTTCCAATTATGAGCCTACTGACTATGAGTTGATTTCAGACACTACTCCTTTCAGGTGCCATTTCACCATGGTGCTTTTCCTGACAAAAAGTGCTTTATCATCTACCAATTATAAAAAATATAATGAACCCTGAAATATGTTTAAAACATGACATCAGCCATCCCCACAGGTAACCAAAATACTTCTACATTGTTTCTCAAGTGACCGGGCATGTAGTGATAAAAACACCCAAATGAATCAGTGGAGAAGAGCAAGCTCCTTAGCACATTGTCTATAGCAAAGAATATGTAGAATATGATAAGGGTTGTTTCTCCCATAAAAGAAGGCAAAGAAAGTGAAATTTGCTTTTGAAGTTCTTAATACTTTTGAAGTCCTCCAATAACTTTAAAAACATCAAACAATTACAACTTAAATGTCACCAGACCACGATTATTTATTAGTCATACCTCTGTAGCGTGACAAAGACTGGTATCAAAGTTGATCAACCCCATAGAAAAGTGTTAAGACATACAACACATGTTTAGTAATACATAGCTGAGCCTAAGCAAACACATTCCTTAATCATTTTCCACTTCTTTATTGTGTATTAAGACTATTTATCCCTTATATTATCAATCTATTTCTTCCTGTGTCATTTTCTATAACTGAATACTGTTGACCGTAGTACCCTGGCTTGATTCTCTATTATTTTGTTAATCACAGTGGCACTTCAGTGTCGTGGCACTAATTTCTCAACTCTGTCTGGTGTATTGGAGATGAATATAGTTTCCCATCTGTCTCCAGTGGCGATGGCCGTTCAGGGGGTCAAGCGTTTGGGGTCACGGGGGAACATGGAGACCTGGCGGACATTGTGAAGACCCAGGTAGAGCATGCAGACTCTTTCCAGCCCTGAGGGAGATAACTCACAGTCAGCATCACAGTACACTTACAATTAGTATATTTAGAGTACCTTTACAATATTTTCATAATGAGTATATTTACAATGAGTTTATTTACAATATATTTACATCGTATTTCATATTGAGAGGGTATGGGTTTAGAATAAGAATTTCATGTCTTACCAATGCCACCACCTCCGTGTGGGGGAGCCCCGTAACGGAAAGAGTCGATGTAGGACTTGATCTTCTCCAGATCTGCAGGAACACAAATCAGTTCAAGTCATGGTAATATTTGATACCAGCATCAACACTTTACATATCAGCACCAGCCACCAGTGTATTTGTAACATAGTAATAATATGCTTATTCTTTAGCAATCGCTTGAGAGGAAGGAAGGAAGTTTGATTTATTGAGTGACCAATATGGCAGCCTTGAATAACAAGGCAGAGTTGTCTAGTTACCAATGTTGTGGTGCATGGCCCTCTCAGTGAGCAGCTGGGCATCGTGGATCCTCTGAGCGCCAGAGAGGATCTCCTCTCCTCTCATGAACATGTCGTAGGAGTTGGAGTATTTCTGAGGAGGAACAAGTTCAATGAATGCCACAATAGTGTCATGAGCAACTTGGTGAATGTGTTGTTTGTGTGTAGTGACGTGCATACTTTGTCATTGGGGTCAGGCATGGTGTAGAATGGCCTCACTGCCAGGGGGTACTTGTCCAGCACATAGAAGTCAGTGTCATACTAACAGAAAGGAGACAGAGATGAGTTAGTCCGCTTTACAGCCATAAATGATCTGCATGTATACCTACAGGTAACTGCCAAAATAAAGGAAACTTTAGTGTCTTAATAGGGCATTGGGAAACCACGAGCCAGAACAGCTTCAATGCACCTTAGCATATATTCTACAAATGTCTGGAACTCTATTGAAGGGATGTGATGCCATTCTTCCACAAGAAATTCCATAATTTGGTGTTTTGTTGATGGTGGTGGAAAATGCTGTCTCAGGCGCCGCTCCAGAATCTCCCATAAGTGTTCATTCGGGTTGAGATCTGGTGACTGAGACGGCCATGGCATATGGTTTACATAGTTTTCATGCTCATCAAACAATTCAGTGACCACTCGTGCCCTATGGATGTGGGCATTGCTATCCTATGGGGGCATAGCCATGGCAGCCAAAATAATGGCCTGCCCAGCATTTTTATACATGATTAACTCAGGAACCACACCTGTGTGGGAGCACCTGCTTTCAATATACTTTGTATCCCTCGTTTACTCAAGTGTTTCCATTATTGGGCAGTTACCTGTAGATACAGAGAGTAACATAACTACATTTGTTGTCACCCAAGAAGTCAATGGAATGATAACATACCTTTTCTTTCACCAGACGACCGAGCAACTTCTCATTGGGAGTGCTGTGAGAAACGTTAAACCATTTATTTTAGATCAATTAAATGATAAACAACCCCCCCCAAAAAAATAAAATTTGTGGAAATTAAAGACTTAAAAACAAACCTTTACTTTAAGGTCTTATCAATAACAGGTGTAAACGTAACACTGCTGCAAACTCTTGACCTGCCACTGACCTGAGGTCCTCCTCATCTCCCATCTCCACCCCGGCCTCCCGGAGCATGGCCACGCCCTCCCTGTACTCCAGCCTCAGAGTGGGCTCCAGGAACTTGAAGGGCTCACTGGGGTACTGCTTCCCCACCGTCTGGATCTCTGTCTGGAACCTGGCCAACACACACACACATATATAAACAAACAAGCGCGCGCACATACACATCACTGAGTCATTCAACTAACACCTGCTACCTCAGCACAGATGCAGTGCCCTTTCAGTGGTGTACTTTATATGGGGCGTCATCCATGTGTTCAGTTATAGACCTGTAATAGGCCCTCTAAAGTTTAAACCATACTCATTCACTTTGCTTGAAAATATGGGTTAGAAGTGCATCACATCTTACTTGTCTCTAAGCCCTTTGAAGATCTGGACCATGGTGTCGGTGATTGACTCGATCACTTCATGGTAGTGGTAGTTGAACGCCAACTCAATATCCAGACCTACAAACTCTGTCAGATGACGATGGGTGTTGGAGTCTTCTGCTCTGAACACTGGAATGGAGAACATCTTCAGTTAGCATCACCAACATTGTATTTCACTAAGATGATTATATCCATCACCTCAGAGGTGACATCGGAGGCTGCGTCCCAAATAGCACCCTATTTCCTTTATAGCGCACTACTTCGACCAGGGCACATTGAGCAGATGTGAGACTGCAGTGGGGGAGAAGTCATTACTCCTCTGGTTATGTGTGGATCAGGCCAGGTGATGGCCCTGTTGAGCTACCTCACAGAGACTGGGGACATTATGCAACCAGTGAGATAAATGTTTCCTATTGATCAACATGTGCGCAATCACAACACATTCTACATATGTATGAAATAATCTGTGTAATGCGGTTATCCGCCCAGGTTTAATATTGTGAAGGTCCCTTTTCCTGAATACTGTTTGTTTGTTGACTACATAACTCGTGACTGATGTATTCAACACAATAGTTTGAATTAATTCCCATTATTGGATAGAGTGTTCATTGGGGAGTGAAAAGGGGTTAGGTGAAGGGCTTTGAGATGTCTTTTCAATATATATTTTTTGACATTTTACACTTTATTAAAATGGCTGGAAACAAGGGGGAGACCGCCAAGCAGGAACACAGATGTAAGGGAGGACGTGGAGATTGAACCCTGGTCTCCGGTGGGGAGTAGAGTATGTGCCTGGCGGCAAGCATTACAGCTAGACCACAGGTTCTGCACTAGATATTGCCTTACCTGGTCCCACGCAGAACACCTTGTCAAAGTCAGCACATATACACATCTGCTTGTAGAGCTGGGGAGACTGGGCCAGGTAGGCACTGGTTTTGAAGTAGGACACAGTGAAGACGTTCGCGCCACCCTCACTGGCAGCTAGAGAGGAGAAAGATACCTTTTAGTCAAACTATCCCAGGAGAGAAGCAATATATAATAATATTTTTTAACTAACCTATGTGATAACTCCATTTCCTAACAATGTAAGTAAGCATTTCACTGTTGTTTATGAATTTGATTAGATTTTGATTCCCATTATTGACCATTAGAGAGATTCTCCAGTAATGTTGTATACTTTTAGCTAGTAGTTCTAAACGTAGTGCTCACGAGCCAAAAGTGGTCCCCGGAAATTGCGTATTAGTTGACAGCAGATATGTGCACCACTTCATTGCTCTCTTTCGCTCTGAAAAGTTGGTTATTTTTTAGTTTTTTTGAACTTGTCCGGTCTGTGTGGAGCACTGAGCTATAATAAGAACAATGTGGGAAGACACGGAGAAAACACGCGATCCAGAGGGATAGAAAGCAGTTGCTTCGCGAGGTATCTCTTCCTGAAAATACCTCATCTAAGTGATTGATAGTTGGTATGCCTTATTTACTTTTTAAGAACTTCTAAAATTGTGATTTTGTCAGACAGCATAGGCAGCAGCTCTATAGAGATGAGATGATGACTTGGATGATGACTTGGAATGAAATAATAAAGTCATCAAATAAAATAAAGTAATGTGAATAAATTGTGGTTAATAAGTGATAAGCAGTAATGGGCAGTCACTACCATTAATTGTTTATTTTACTTTTATTAATTGTTTTATTCTGTGACAGCATTCAACCAACATAATGCATAGTGCATTTCATGTCAAAAAAAAATTTGAAACCGAAATCCGTGATTATTTTTGTATAATCTAACTGTAACTGAACCGACCTCAAAAAGCACTAATAGCTCAGCACTAACATTGACACATTAGTAGGTGCCAAAGTTCTGGACCATGTCTAACTTACGTATGAGCCATATTTGACATTCACATCATAGTAGATCCTGTGATAGGTGTTGTCCTTTACAGAAGGGTGGTCACAGAGTACATTTTGTACAGTGTACTACGTGTGATGGGTGTTGGCAGAAGAAAATGCGTTTTTTTTAGAGTGGTACACACTGTTGATACACAGCTGCTTGCACCTAAAAGGCGGCAATTTTAAATGTGTCAATGCTAGGCTGGGCTTATTTCATTGGCTCCTACAGTAGAGGAAGTGAAAGCAACACGTGTTACACCACAACTCAGTACACTACACGAGGTAGTACATGTTGTGCTGTGGTGGCAAGTACAGCAGTAAACAACACGTCTTTTAAAGCTTATTTCTATGTCTACAAAATATGACACATGCTCACTCATTATGTGCTTATACTTGTGAAGTGCGGTTTAGAGTCAGCTCATCAATAAGAGCATGAATGACCAGACAGAGTCGAGCCTGCACTGCTTCATAAGATAACTGGTAGACAGAATCCTACTGTGAGTTATCTCAGGGTTATGTGAACTCGAAGCCCTATCAGCAGTATAGAGGAATAAATGGCCTTTTGAGCTTGAATTTCTACACTGCTCACACTCTACTCCCCATCCTCAACTCCCCAAACCCATCTGAACATGAAAGAGCATGTATCCTTGAGGCAGTTTGCACTTTGCAGCCAAAATAGTGGAAAAGTACCTCGTCTTCCTACTACCTGTACTTAATACAAGTCAAGTAGTAATCTAAAGGCCAATATTATTCACCTTGAAAATGTTAATTGACAAAGCACCTCCAGTCTGTGACACAGGGGCACATTGGTGGTACCTGATATGATTTTGGGGGTCTGGATCTCCACAAAGCCCTTGTTGGTCAGGGTGTCTCTAAAGAGCTGGCAAACTCCAGACTGCAGGCGGAAGATGGCCTGGCTGGTTGTTGTCTACCAGAGGAGAAACAAGCAGAAACAACAAGAGTCAACAGATGTATTACACAATGCCAAAGAAGAGTCAATAACACTGCTTGCTTCACATCTTGCCTTATACAGTCTCGACACCTTTCATTTCATTAAAGGGAGTAGAGATATTAAGGCTAGGCCTATTTCCAAATGGAACACTCAAGTGTACTTTTTGCTGTTGATGCAAGTTAAAGAGGAGGGTGCAATTCACACTAATGTAAGCCTTTAAAAAATAAACATGAGATATAAAGCTCTGTCGTCTTTTCAAAATAATATTGGCAAATAAGTTCATCTGAAATTCTCTATTCACATATAAAATCAGCTTTGAGCAATCTGGTTGTATACAGAGGTCAACTTAGTTGCATAGACAATAACCTAGTCATCAAAACAACTCGTGATGAGGCATGTCAATGAGCTGGGTAGTACACAGAACATCTGAGAAAGAGCAGAGGAACAGTTAAAAAACCCCAACCCTATGATCGTTGGGCTACAAACAGCATTGTCAATAGGTGTGTTCTTTCTTAGTTCTCAGTTGATCAGATGACTAATTTCTTAATATGACTGGTGTTATTAGTAAGGATTTTTTCAACCAGTTCTATCTGGTTTCATGTATCTACATAAAGCCAGGGTTAGGCACTTTGATGAATACAAAAAGCTCTGAGCCTTTTGATTGAACATTAAAGGCTCACATTTCTATCTTCTAGACTTTCCCAAAGTCCTGAATGGGAGTGACTATCCCATTGTCAGACAATGAATCTGCAGACAATGACTCTGGTCCAGTCAGACTTTAGTTCAGGGCCCTGTTAGAAATGGTCAACTGATATATTAGTCCATGAAACTGACCCCCCCCTGCCTCATGGATTATATGTATAGTTGACAGAGGTTGGAAAGTAACTACTGCTCTGATGAATAAGAACACTTCTGAAGAACACTAGATAAAACACTAGACAAATAGCCAACTAGCCAACCAACTGCTATGATAGCCTGAGTAGGATCTGACATATCAAAATTATTTACATAACTCTAAAGGAGTTCCTGTGCAAAACACTTCTCTATACTGTGAGGAGATTGGTGGACTGTTATGTTCTCATAGATCACTTCTCTTTCGACGCCCTCACACCAGGGTGGAGGGTATAAAAGAGAGTGAGAGCAAAATAGCTCAGTATGTCACTCTCGTTGACATTCAAGCTCTCAAAACAAAAGTGTCTAACGGCCATGGCTTGTGTTTTTGGTCACATGCCACCACCACCACTCAGATTGTGCCTAACTGATATTGTCTTTCATTAGAGTGCATCAATATATTTTCAGCAAAATGTCTAGCTATTAGGTCTATTTCTCAAAGGGAGTTTAAAAAAATTAAGTGAAATAATCTTTTCATTTTCACAACAACTTGGAAAACCGAGCCTGGTGTGTTCATTACTTTTGACACTTTATTGTTGACTGGGGTTAGGGGTCTGTGTGAAAACCTGTTTATGGGTTTACTGTTCATCTAAGTGTGAGCTCAAAGAGACATTGTGTAGAAACAGGTGTTGTGACAAAGCCAGGCTGAGGCGAGCGCTAGAGCTGTTTTCCTGCTGCTGCCACATCAGTGTGGGCCACCTCAGAACAGAGCACAACAATGAGACCTCTAGCAACCCTTTCCTTTCCCCTCTGAATCCCTGCACAGTTCTATACTGCACTCTACAAGCAGGCTAACTCTGTCACAAATGGCATCTCATCATTACAATATTTTTTATACAAATGTAGTGTCTTCAAACCCAATAAACGAATTATATTTATTTTTTGTGTAATTCATTTCTCATCTAAGGTAACACTGGCTTAAGTGTAATAGTGTACAACTTACCCTCAGATCAATGACTCGGTTGTCCAGTCTTGTGTCCTGGTTGACCGTCGCTCTTCCATCCTGAGTAGAGACACACAACAATAGTTTCACCACATTACAAAACATTTAAGTATTTAACACATCTGAAGAACATCGGAACAAGCGATTACATTTGTGTGAAAACTGTACCTACAGTACGATATTCAAATGTATAAAATTTTCTATATTTGATCCCCTGCTGATTTTGTACGTTTGCCCACTGACAAAGACATGATCAGTCTATAATTTTAATGGTACAGTGAGGGAAAAAAGTATTTGATCCCCTGCTGATTTTGTACGTTTGCCCACTGACAAAGAAATGATCAGTCTATAATTTTAATGGTAGGTTTATTTGAAAAGTGAGAGACAGATTAACAACAAAAAAATCCAGAAAAACGCATGTAAAAATTGTTATAAATTGATTTGCATTTTAATGCAAACTCCAGACTGCACACAGACAAAGTGTGTACACATGCTGCTTCAGAGCCAGTACTATTCTTCCTTCAGACAAGCATGTGTCAAAACTTTGTTGATTTGCACATCTCTCGTTCACATTAGCTTGTAAATGTCCAAACTTACCAAAAATATATGTGTAACTTTATGAGCTGGATTGCCTGTCTTTGCATTTAGTTTATTTTCGTTTGCACTCGTTAGAATATTAAGCTAGCAGCCTCCATGGAATTTCGTTATTACTTGTGCTAATTTTGTTAGCATTCTGGTAATAGACGCCCAATGGGCTTTTGTTGCGTTTTTGGCGCCCCCTTATGTACTAAGCCGGTAATACCCTAAATCCCGGGATGCGAGAAGGACGGTATGACGATATGAAAATATGGATACCGCCCAATCCTACTAAACACCTTCTTCGCCCGTTTCAAGGAAAACAGCACAAAGCCGCCGACGTGGGCCCCCGCCTCTCTCGAGGACTGTGTGCTCCCGATCTCCGTAGCCGACGTGAATAAGACATTTAACCCTTGCAAGGCTGCCGGCCCAGACGGCATCCCAAGCCATGGTCTCAGAGCATGCGCAGACCGGGTTGGCTGGAGTGTTTACGGACATATTCAATCTCTCAATATCCCAGTCTGGTGTCCCCACTTGCTTCAAGATGTCCACCATCGTCCCTGTACCCAAGAAACAGAAGGTAACTGAACTAAATGACTTTTGCCCTGTAGCACTCACTTCTGTAATCAAGAAGTGCTTTGAGAGGCTAGTTAGGGACCATATCACCTCCATCTTACCCGACACCCTAGACCCACTACAATTTGCATACCACCCCAACAGATACACGGACGACACAATCACCATTGAACTGCATTGAATACGACCAATTCCAATCATATAAAAGAGTAAAAGAGCTCATTAGCTCCTAAATACTAGAACACGATGCCCATGGTTGTCAGGCTTCCTGGAACTCACGTGGGGTTAAAACCACCTGTGAACAAGCTTCACACATCCTGCTCATATTGAGTCAGAGACACGAAGACAGACAGGGAGACACAGAGACAGCCCAGCCCTCCCCAACGGCAGGTGCTGTAACGGACAGACAGAGAGACAGACAGGCAGGCAGGCAGGCAGGCAGGCCCAGCCCAGAGTCTCCTCCCCAACGGCAGGCGCTGTAACTTACTGACGGACAGACGACACCTGGGCCGCAACTTCAGCTGTGTTTGGCTTATTGCATAAACACTGACACCCTTCAGCTGTCTCTGAACTGAACCATACTAGAGAGAGATGACCCTTTAGACAGACACCGACCGAGAACATGGCAGTATAGAACCAACACTCCTCCAAAACAACAGCGACAGGCCTTGAGTGTGGGAACCAAGTCATGTATTTTTCATCCAGTGCCTGTGTTGAACTGCATTAGAATAGAGGATAATCTCTGAACGCAATGATTTTGACCTTTGATCAGCTACAAAGAGCTGCCTGCGGGAGGCCCAGGAGCCCTGGCCCTCATCCTCACCTCATCCCCCTCTCCTTCCGGCCTCACACAATCTTCCAGCTGCAGGGGCAGGCGAGGCTCGGCCTGGCTGATCACAAAAATCTGAGACAGGAAAAAAAGGTGATATTGTTTTTTTTAGAAGGGAGATGTTGGTTTTAATACATTTACAGTTAGAGTACCTCTAAATTCACAGTACTTTCCAAGTTGAACTGCTGAGTGGAAAGGAAAGTACCACAATTCCAAAATCAGAAAGCAAAGAAAGTCTCATACAGTTATCTTTTAACCAGTAGTTTCTCTGATTCATAATGAGAGTGAATGGCTGTCCCTTCATCCCAGTCAGTCTGTTGGTCTGTGGTGTGGTCAGACAGAGAATCAGACAGCCCTACCTTCTCAATGTGCAGCTCCACATCCTGCTGAGAGCAGCTCTCGATCTTCTGCTCCACCTTCCTCACCATTGCCTCCACGTCCACGATGCTCTCCTTGTTGATGCTGCAGACAGGGGGGACGGGGGCGGGGATAGGCACAGCGCTTAGCAGTCTACACAGATCAATTGAAGTCAAACGAGTGGGAGGCTAGCTGAGAACTGTAAGTTTACATTCAAAACCCTGATTGAAGTTCACACAGTCACAGAAGTGTGAGCTGAGATTTGTTGAGCAGTTGGTAACCTTGGATATAAACAAACAAAATCTAAAAACACCCGACACCCTAGACCCTACTATTCCTGAGGTAAAATGTCACAGGATCATGTTGTTTGGATGGTTTCAATATGACAATTTCCTATTTTCTTTTGATTTAATCAGCCGATTGTGACAACGTGTAGAAAACAAACATGTGACACAGATATGAACTACAGTAAAACACCAGTGGCCACACATCAATAAGACCGAGGTTAAACAACAATCTGAAAGACATGTTGAGAGAACACCAGAGCAGGCCACCGCTGTCCTTTCCCACTGTCCTTGATCCAACAGAGCCTTGTAGAAATATGATGAACTGTCAATACCAATTGTCCCATAGCATGGGGCCAGATGGAACAAGCCCAGTGTAATCCTTCACCTCTTCTCATTAAAACGCAGTAATGAGAGACAGGACAGTGGTGAATGGTGAACCCAGTCAGTCCTCTGCAGCTGCCTCAGTCACAGATATCCACTACAGGATCAGCTAGACAAATAAAGCCCACATGAATAACCTCCTCACTCAAACACCCGGCCAGCATGCCTGGGGACAATAAACACTGCCCATCAATTAATATGAGTAAGTCATACAAGTAAGGGTTTTGATTGACCGGACTAGCGTCCTGTCCATAGGCTGTACTTGTACATCAAGCTGCCTCACACTACAGAAAAAGGAGATCCTATGGACCGCTCTGGCTCAGACAAGGCTACTTACTATAATCTTAGCTAACAACTGACTATGTATTATAAAGATATGTGAAACCTTTCAATGCATTGTTTAACACGTTCTAGTAAGAGAAAGTAAAACGAGACACTTAGAGGAAATTGTTGACGGGGACGTAGAGGATACCTTACCCCTAATTTAACTCTGTATGGGGAAGTTGAAATACTATATGTGACAGGTGTTGCACGCTCTTCCCTATATGTCACCACTGGCCTGGATCAACCTTGATGATTATGAAAGGACTCCTGTAATGCAAAGCTTACTAAGCTTCCATAGAATTCAAAGAACATAGAACATTAAGAGGCTTGATTTTATCAACTTGTTAGGGCCTATAGTTTTTCAGGTCAAATTATGTTGGGCAGAGTGCAATATGCATTGTGTGGATTGTTAAGATTGGGGCCAGGATGTTTAGACCTCTGCGGATTTAGTGCAGAAGCTGCGGGCCTCAACCCTGACTATACATTTGTCTTGAGTGTGCTTTGATAGAAGCTGGTTTATGACTGATGCTTAGTCATGGATTAATGGGTAGTGTCCCAAATGGCACCCTATTCCCTATATAGTGCACTACTTTTGACCAGAGCAGTCAAAAGTAGTACATTATGTAGGGAATAGGGTGCTATTTGGGAAGGAGCCATCCATGGGGTAAGTGGTTGCGTGCAATAAGTGCAATACAATCAACTGCCACATCAAACCACATGACATTACACAAGCAAAGGAAAAAGGAACCAAATCATTTTGGAGCAATCGGGCCACATGATTTCTACGAAACACACGATCCGATAGACAAGATCAAGCCAGAGCATTATTGTCCTTAAAGTAGTAAAAACCAGGGTCATATTCACTAGGATCCAAGCGGAAGCAAATGGGCCAAAACAGGTGCCTACCTGAATTTGTCCAATAAGAAACGCTTATTTTTGCTCTCGGTTGCAAAGCGTTTTGCTACGGCGTGCACTAATGAATACGAGCCAGCTCTGAAGCAACCTTCAGATTGTATCATCACACGCAAGAGGTTGAGAGGAAACAGAGCGTTCAAACCACTCTGACACAACTTACAAGGTCGGTCAGAGGTTCCCGTCAATGAGGTTGACCAGTGTGACTTTGGCCTTGGCCTAAATAACTTGTGTGGCCTTTATTTGGGGTCAGTTTCCTTCCGTACTAGTCTACGTCTGACATAGTCCAAGTTCAGCAGGAAACCAACAAGTGGCTGAGACCTGGTAAGAGTTTTTCTGGGGTCTGGCAAACGTGACATTAAGTGGAAATACGCATGGAAGGTGTGTCACAATCGCTAAATGTAAACAACTGGAGACACCGTGATTTTTGGAGACATGTTATTGGCAAAGCAGCCCTATTGTAGCTAGAATAAGCGTGTAGGAGCGATTGTTAACTGTTAAGAATTTTAGCTGGCTAAATGTGGGTCTAAACAATTCACTTATTTACCGTTAATTAGCCACCACAAATCACTTTGCTAGCCATTGCAGAGTTGACTCTGACCCCAGAATGACTAATGATGCTCAGGCTCTTAAGTACCTCTTCAACTTTGATGTACTGTATATATTGTATCTACTCTGTTATCTGGGCAGGAACGGCTCCATTAAACACTTCTATACTGTATCCCATCTGAAAGTGGACGCTTTTGTCAGGAGCTGAAAAATTTACGATTCTTTCAGAATGTGTGAAAATAAATCGGGAGCCCATTAGGATCCAGCTTTTCCCACCATTGTTTGTCGGGGGCCACCAGGGGCCTCCCGGGGCCTCCAGGAAATGCAGTCTTGTACTCACTTGGCGGCAAACTTCACCATCTGCTTGCTGGCACGCTCCCCCACGGCAACTAGGGCCTGCACGTTAAACTGCTGCTGACGCAGGACCAAGAAGCACTGCTTCCCTAAAATGACCACAACAACACAATATACATCAGCAGGCTACCTCTAATTGGGTCTAGCAACTCCTAATGCACTTGTCAAAACAGGAGCCATGGTTCTATACAATGCCATGTCACTCTCTCAGGCCAACATGGCAGAGGTCCTACCTGCTTTAGATACCACCTCTCGCCCATAAAAAAACATTTTTCAACGCATTTCCAGGTAACTGTCAGAGAGCAGTGAACGGACGACCATTTGAAGAATGGTGTATGGAGGGAGATTGAGAGCCAATTCCCAACCACACACCTTGAGACTGTGTAAATCAAGTTTGTCAAGTATCATACCAACATCAGAGACCACCCAAGTGCTTTGATGTGTGTGTGTGTGGGGGGGGGATCACAAAAAAAAACAGTCACTTCATCCCTGTGTAAATCAGGATGTTATTCTGCTTTCAAGGACATCCTTCACTGTAGAGCTGAATGAATGAACGAAGGGGGAGAAAAATGGCTCTTGACATGGACGTTTTCCTGTAAGGAAGCCACCGCAAGATCATAATATGATGGTTTATTGATTAGCATATTGTTAGCACAGATGTGTACGTGCTCGATGTTTCGAATCATTCTGGATGGGATCCGACTAAGGCAAGGCTCAATGAGCTCATTGTATTAAAGCCTCAAATGGAAAATAACTCAATTTAATCCAAGTTAAATAACTGAGCTTTGGTTTGAGTTTTCAAACTTTTCAAAAAAGGAACTGGCATGTGCCTGTGTAATACCCACAGAGGAATTTATACTGAACAAAAATATAAACGTAACATGTAAAGTGTTGATCCCAAGTTTCATTAGCTGAAATAAAAGATCCCAGAAATGTACAATTGCATTTTATCGATGGCAATTTGAATGCACAAAGATACTGTGACGAGATCCTGAGGCCCATTGTCGTGCCATTCATCTGCCGCCATCACCTCATGTTTCAGCATAATAATGCATGGCCCCATGTCAACAGCCTGATCAACTCTATGCGAAGGAGATGTGTTGCGCAGCATGAGGTTAATGGTGGTCACACCAGATACTGATTGGTTTTCTGATCCACACCCCCTACCTTTTTTAAAAAGGTATCTGTGACCAATAGATGCATATCTGTATTCCCAGTCATGTGAAAACCATAGATTAGGGCCTAATGAATTTATTTCAATTGACTGATTTCCTTATATGAACTCTAACTCTTTGAAATTGTTGCATGTTGTGTTTATGTTTTTGTTCAGTGTATAATAGAAAAAACGTTGCACTCTGCAACCCCCATCCCCTATGTCCCTCATCACCCGGGCTGCAAATAAGGTGAAAAACTCAATTCTGGTGCCATGCAGTTATTTTACAAGATTTAGTACATTTCTAGTAGCTGTTGACCTTATTTGCCAACCTGAGGATAGTTGACTGAAAAATGTTGCTCTTCTCTGGATAGTGACCAGGGCATAAAATGAACATCCGCCAAATACGGGTAGATTTTGATATTTGAATGTCTATTTCACCAGCCACGTTGCCGGGTGGTCAACTTGCAGGGCTCTACAGTGTGGGCATTACATTCAAGAATAAAAATGGTCAAAAGGCAAGTATGAGCACGTGCAAGTTAGGGTTAGAAAAAAGCTGCAGTAGCTGTTTTCAAAGTATTTCTGCTGTTTTGTTTCATAGCTGCTAATCGCACAAAGAAATAGGAATCCTATATCCCACCTCGCAAAGTAACACTGCCTGGCAGGGAAGCTGTGCGCACTGAGTGAAGTGCTGATAGATTCATTTTTAATTTACTTGAAAGTCTACAAAGAGAAACTTTGTCCTCATGATCTTGGCTATTTACATTTAATTCATTTAGCAGACGCTCTTATCCAGAGTGACTTACAGGAGCAATTAGGGTTAAGGTGCCTTGCTCAAGGGCACATCGACAGATTTTTCACCTAGTCAGCTCGGGGATTCGAACGAGCGACCTATCGGTTACTTTCCCATCGCATTGAAAATGTACATTGTTTGTTGACAAGCTTGGTTGTTTTTCAACATTAGTTTGAGTCTGCTGCTTCAACTGATAGCAAAGAGACGCCCTACTCAGAACTCAAATCTCATACACACGACGACTGGAGTGGCCCAGTTACCACGGTAACCTCACACCCTTAAAGGTAACAAAAACGGAAATGAAATTGAGCAATATACCACATTACATCTTACTAATACATTTCTTGTTTTAGAAACATTACAAAGCATGGTCATCTGTTTTTTTATGTAATTATGGGGAATAAATATTTTTGCTGATAAAAGATCTGAGTGGCTGGTAGATTTTTCCATCTACCTGCCACAGTGGCTGGTGGACCAAAAAGTACATTTTAGGCCCTGACAGTGACTATTTGGCCCAAGGACAGTTGGTAATATTTTTGGTAAACCCCAAGGTTCAGTTACGGAGCCATTTATATTAGAAGCCTGGCTGTGGCCTGAGGACTAAAGTGTGTTATGGAGCTGGACAAAGATGGAGAATCTCACCTTTAGCTCTGCTAGTGTGAATCCTGGCACGCACCCAGATCAGCTGGTCAGCCTTCTCAGGTGTCAGCTCCTGGACACGCACCAACACCCTGTCTGGCTCACAGGGAGGAAAAGCGCGCCTTTCAATACAACTTAAAATACCATATACCCCACTCCCCACACACACACATAGACACTCATATTACAAGGAGAACAGAAACACTGCGTAGATGACGGCCCATTCTCTGTGCCTTAAGACAAATGGACTCTGCTTTGCCCTGTGTCACTCTGAGGCATGCTTAACGTTACTATGATCAGCTAGTTGAGACAGAGAGCGCCTCATTCGTCCCGGCGGCTGTGAGCCTCCCATTTGGCTGAACCTGATTCCACCCACATGAAAGGCAGGCTGGCTGGCTGTCTCTATCGTTCCTCATCCCTGTGGACAGGCATACAAGTGAGAAGCCAACTTTGTTCTCTGCCATTGGAGCTGAAAGAGCAGGCAGACAGGTGGACGACCCAGTCTCTTTCACGTTTATCTGGGAGCAATGGCACGCTATTAGTCACCACAATCATCTTTGATATTTAGGCTATCTCTACTACTTACTGCCGCCATGTCCCTGAGTGACTCAGATATAATCACGTTGTCTGTATTACTTAACAAGTAGTAGTAAACATGGTTGTTGAAATGGAGATATCCTCTGTAAATAATATGTTTGTGTGGAAGAACAAAGAAGAGGAGGTAGTTGCCGACTGTACTGACCCAGTTTCTGCTGGGACTGGACCATCGGAGGGACACCGTACCGATCCTTGGCAAAGTCCTGCACAAATAAGAAATAATCTGCTAAGCATTTAAATACAATAGCTTTATAGGAAACATCATTAGAGGTGCATAAAATGTAATATTCCTTTAACATTCCACCATATAGAAAAGGTGTAAATAATCATAAATAAATAAATAATAAATCTGAAAACATGGAAGAATTGATCCTCCAGGATATTTACATCTTCATCTGTGCTTTGTGAGTCAGCAGCCTGAAAACAAGAGGCAAAACAGTTAGTTACTGCAACGGGACATCCTGATAAATCCTGATAAAGGGCCTTGTATTGGAAACAGCTAGTGGACTGATATTATGATAAATATAACTGATAAACAATGGAACCCCCCTCCCTCGCCCGATTGTGCCCTCGGCACGTCAACAGCTGTGAGGGGCAGAGAGGCAGATAAAACCCACTGACCAGCTTGGCCTGCTTCTCAGCCTTCTTCGCCGCTTTCTCCGCTTCCTTCTGCTGTTTCTTCAGGCCTTTCTTCGACTGGGCCTGGTCCGCCTCCTCCGCGGCTCTGCAACAGGAAGTCCAGAACAACGCAAAACATATAAGTCAACTTCCTAGGTCTATTTCTCCAGCTTCCTGTAGGACGTTTTTGACCGGTTAATTCCAGCCATCACCACCTCTGGCTTGCAGTCCCATTGACAGGCTTTTAAGTTTGTCTACCTTTAATCCTATGGTTTTCACATGCTTTCAAACACAGCAGTTAGCATGTGAACTCTAGGATCGAGTGGAGAAAAGGTGTTTACACTGTCACACAGTGAGATTAGATGGATAAACACAAAGCAGGTATGAGCTGGGGAGTAGAACAATGCTTTTACTATTCCTTTCTAATCCCCTCACAGTAGAAAAGCCCTCAAAATGAATAGTAAATACTGATAATCTTGTTATGATAGCATTCATCTTGATAACTAGTGGTGCCTTTATTTGCAAACAATGTGTTATGCTGACAATTCTATAACTCAAGGGGAGCTGAATAGAATAGAATCCAGTCTACTGTGAAGACAAAATAAGGATGTGGACATTAATAGCTAACGACATAGCCTGGACAGAGACATGGCTCATCAACCTAACAATAAACACAGCTATTAGGGAACAAATAGCTCGCTTCAAATTCTAGGTCAATAGGATTAATAAGGACTACAAGGGTGTCTAGCCTAAATTATGACTACAGTCAGCTCCAATGAGTGGTAGGCCTATTGGCTGCATTTACACATGCAGCTGATTTTTTGCCCAATGATTGGCAAAAGAGCTGATCTGATTGGTCAAAGACCAATTAGTGGAAGAATATCAGAATTGCTCTGCCTGTGTAAACGCAGCCTCGGTCTGCAGACTCCAGACTGAGATCAAAGATTGCATGAAAGAAAAATAACTTAAACTTTGCACTTCCTCAATAATATTACTAACCAGTTAGGTGTTGCAGGACAGGAGGTATTTTTCTGAACCACAACCTGTGATAGTCATTGTCCTAAGACAGTAAATGGTCTACAGGAAATAATACTGATCAAGGGAGAACAGTGATATAAATAGAAATATAAACAACAATCACAACAGCAACATATGACGTTGTGCACGACTTCAAAAGAAGGACCTGAAGCACCTGCCAGTGTTTTTACACCATTTTCCGTTGCACTTGTTTCCTTTTGCAAAGGAAATCATAATAGCTTTGTCACTTTAAAATGTATGCCATGAAAAACCATTGATTGCAATGTTTAACAAACCATACACCTATATGCAGAAGTCTACTGTTAACAATTGCCACTGAACATTTTACTAAAACGCATTTACTTGAGGAACGGTGCAGATGCAAAGTTTGGTAACAGAATGACAGTCACATCTCTCCATTTTTTATGCGACCACGTTTTCTAAAAACTTTAATATATTCTCCAAATTCAGATTCAAAGATGTCTGCAGAAATAATGGGGTGTCAGCTAAGAAATGACACCTTGAGATAGAAAAAATATATTGGTTATTGAACTACAGTAAGTGAAGTGGATCAACACCAGGTAACAGAATGACGGTAAGAGAATGACGTCATGGGTCCTTGATCTGTACTATACAGAAATGCATAATTATTCATGTCATTCTCTTCATGAATAGGTACATAAAAGGCAGAAAAATGTAATATGCATGTTTGGATTTTATTCTACATACTGGCTATTATTCTAATAAGCTCCGCCCCCAAACAAGACCAAATTTGGTTGGTCCAGACCGGACAAAATCTGTACCAATCATAAACGTCTATGTTTCACAAGTTTGGACATCACAGTACAGCACAGTAGAGTACAGTACAGCACAGTAGAGTAGAGTTCAGTACAGTAGAGCAAAGTACAGTACATTACAAAAGAGTACAGTAGAGTTTAGTATAGTAAAGAAAAGTAGAGTAGTGTATAGTTCAGTACAGCACAGTAGAGTACAGTACATTCCAGTAAAGTAAAGTATAGTTCAGTACAGTACAGTCCAGTAGAGTATATTAGGGCTTGGAATTGCCAGGGACCTCACGATATTATCGCAATACTTAGGTGCTGATATGATATGTATTGCGATTCAATACTGCGATTTGATGTTCCAAACATATTGCTCACTATACTCACGGTGTATACAAAACACTAAGAACACCTGCTCTTTCCATTACATAAACTGACCAGGTGAATCCAGGTGAAAGCTATGATCCCTTATTGATGTCACTTGTTAAATTCACTTCAAATCAGTGTAGATGAAGTGGAGGATACAGGTAACAGAAGGATTTTTAAGCCTTGAGACATGGATTGTGTATGTGTGCCATTCAGAGGGTGAATGGGCAAGACAAAAGTTTTAAGTGCTTTTGAACGGGGTATGGTAGTAGGTGCCAGGCGCACCGGTTTGTGTCAAGAACTGCAACGCTGCTGGGTTTTTCAAGTTCAACAGTTTCCTGAGTGTATCAAGAATGGTCCACAACCCAAAGGACATCCAGCCAACTTGACACAACTGTGGGCAGCATTGGAGTCAACATGGGCCAGCATCCCTGTGGAACGCTTTTGACACCTTGTAAATTCCATCCCCCGACAAATTGAGGCTGTTCTGAGGGCAAAAGGGGGGTTGCAACTCAATATTAGGAAGGTGTTCCTAATGTTTGGTATGCCCAGTGTATGTCTGCTGCAGAGAGACAAGAGAGAGCATGAGAAAACAAGTTTTAATCAGTCAAGGAAAAAAAGTGCTGGAAACATGTTGGCTCACAAGTGTAAAATATGATGGAGAACAAGCTATAGGATGAAAAACACCAGAGTTTTGACGCAGGTACAGCCGACTAGCACTAGCTAACGCTATGTACAGTAGCAAAAAATAATAATAATACGTAATTGTATCGATTTTTCCCCCCATCACCAGAGTATATTACATTATACTGTACTGAACTCTACTGTAATTAACTATACTCTACTTTTCTTTACTGTGCTCTACTGTACTAATCTGTGCTCTACTGCAACTGTGGTTTGTAACTACTAGGATTTCCCATTGTGGCCAATTCAATTGTAGTCATTCTGTTACAGATTTTTCATTCACTACCGATTTGGTAACAGAGTGATGGGTTTTAATCATTTGATATTTCCACACTATAATGCCCTTTTTGTGTAAGGGCTGTTTGAAAAAAATGCCTGGAATTTCAGCCTGTTCAGGTGGGATGGAAATTTTGGCCCACATTATGATGTCACAATGTGATCTGCATATAATAGACCAACAACTGTTCCTATGGGTAAGGGGGTGGGTTCTAGACCATCCTATCAACCAATCAGGGCTGTGTATGTAAATATCTTTACATTTGTTTCCTAACGCCCACACGATCAGACTGAGCATTTCAAGAGAAAAAGGAGGCTCAGGGTATTAAAAAATAACAAATATATTTTGGAGTTATTTTCATTAAATAAACACACATTGATTTATTAGATATAGAGTGAGGATTTAAAAATAGACTGCATGGGGGCTTTAATAATTCACCAACAAAAATTGTATCAGTAAAAACACTAACTAATTGGCAGGTCTACCTGTACTTGTTACTTCTGTGAACTTTCCTAATCCTCCCTCCTCATGGGGGAGAGAAAGTGTCTTCTCATTCTGTTGGTAACAGGATGACAAGACACTAGGCAATATTTCCTAAACTTACAAATGGAAATAACGTTTGCAAAAATATACATAAATGTTGATATTAGTTGGCAGGGGCCTTTACTTCAACATTACTGTGTTTTGATGTATTTTCTAATACCTTAAGACTTATTCTAGTAGATGTTTTTTAAGACCCCTTTTCCATCTGTGTGACCAGAAATGAAAGCTTTTGCTTTATTCATCATTTTCAGGATGGAAAATGGTGGAAAAACTTATCTATGCCTTCATTTCCAAAAACTATAGACTCTTAGCTTTCATTTAATACCAAAATGGATATGCTCCTATAAACTTCACATTGGTGCTCATGGGTCCTTTTACATGGAAATGACCATTTACCAAACTCAAAATTCCTGATATTTATTAATCCTTATATCCTGTAATACTATCATAGCAACCCATGGGAACCATATGAGTATGTCAATAGACAATATAGCCAGGATGAGTGAGGGCAATTGAGCACATTCACACCTACAGTGGGGGAAAAAAGTATTTAGTCAGCCACCAATTGTGCAAGTTCTCCCACTTAAAAAGATGAGAGAGGCCTGTAATTTTCATCATAGGTACACGTCAACTATGACAGACAAATTGAGAATTTTTTTACCAGAAAATCACATTGTAGGATTTTTAATGAATTTATTTGCAAATTATGGTGGAAAATAAGTATTTGGTCACCTACAAACAAGCAAGATTTCTGGCTCTCACAGACCTGTAACTTCTTCTTTAAGAGGCTCCTCTGTCCTCCACTCGTTACCTGTATTAATGGCACCTGTTTGAACTTGTTATCAGTATAAAAGACACCTGTCCACAACCTCAAACAGTCACACTCCAAACTCCACTATGGCCAAGACCAAAGAGCTGTCAAAGGACACCAGAAACAAAATTGTAGACCTGCACCAGGCTGGGAAGACTGAATCTGCAATAGGTAAGCAGCTTGGTTTGAAGAAATCAACTGTGGGAGCAATTATTAGGAAATGGAAGACATACAAGACCACTGATAATCTCCCTCGATCTGGGGCTCCACGCAAGATCTCACCCCGTGGGGTCAAAATGATCACAAGAACGGTGAGCAAAAATCCCAGAACCACACGGGGGAACCTAGGGAATGACCTGCAGAGAGCTGGGACCAAAGTAACAAAGCCTACCATCAGTAACACACTACGCCGCCAGGGACTCAAATCCTGCAGTGCCAGACGTGTCCCCCTGCTTAAGCCAGTACATGTCCAGGCCCGTCTGAAGTTTGCTAGAGTGCATTTGGATGATCCAGAAGAGGATTGGGAGAATGTCATATGGTCAGATGAAACCAAAATAGAACTTTTTGGTAAAAACTCAACTCGTCGTGTTTGGAGGACAAAGAATGCTGAGTTGCATCCAAAGAACACCATACCTACTGTGAAGCATGGGGGTGGAAACATCATGCTTTGGGGCTGTTTTTCTGCAAAGGGACCAGGACGACTGATCTGTGTAAAGGAAAGAATGAAGGGGGCCATGTATCGTGAGATTTTGAGTGAAAACCTCCATCAGCAAGGGCATTGAAGATGAAACGTGGCTGGGTCTTTCAGCATGACAATGATCCCAAACACACCGCCCGGGCAACGAAGGAGTGGCTTCGTAAGAAGCATTTCAAGGTCCTGGAGTGGCCTAGCCAGTCTCCAGATCTCAACCCCATAGAAAATCTTTGGAGGGAGTTGAAAGTCTGTGTTGCCCAGCGACAGCCCCAAAACATCACTGCTCTAGAGGAGATCTGCGTGGAGGAATGGGCCAAAATACCAGCAACAGTGTGTGAAAACCTTGTGAAGACTTACAGAAAACGTTTGACCTGTGTCATTGCCAACAAAGGGTATATAACAAAGTATTGAGAAACTTTTGTTATTGACCAAATACTTATTTTCCACCATAATTTGCAAATAAATTCATAAAAAATCCTACAATGTGATTTTCTGGAGAATTTTTTTTCTCATTTTGTCTGTCATAGTTGACGTGTACCTATGATGAAAATTACAGGCCTCTCTCATCTTTTTAAGTGGGAGAACTTGCACAATTGGTGGCTGACTAAATACTTTTTTCCCCCACTGTATCTACATATCCAGTGGCATTAACACACAATGAGGAGAGGAGGAAATTGGTGGTAGGACCCCTGGTCAGGCTATAGTTAATGGCATCTAACTTTACATTTTTTACATTTTTAGTCATTTAGCAGACGCTCTTATCCAGAGCGACATACAGTTAGTGAGTGCATACATTTTCATACTGGCCCCCCGTGGGAAACGAACCCACAACCCTGGCGTTGCAAGCGCCATGTTCTACCAACTGAGCTACACGGGGCCCCGTGTAGACATATTCCTCCAAATGGAAGACTCAGGGAGTCAGTGTAACTACTTGAACATGTGCCATCATGCATAGACTAATTGATTACTATTCATTAATAGAAAACAAAGAATTGAATAAGTTAAAGTAAAACATGTCATGAACTGATTGATTAGGCACCATACTCATTCCTAATTTTCATAATGAATAGGCCTAGGCTACTTTATGACTTTCACTCATTATTACAGTGTTTCCACTTTTTGGGGACTACTGCTGCCCCCACGACACCTTCCCTCTGTTGTCAATTCACTTCTGGATTAGCCTACACCTGCTGTGGGCATGGTCATTACATTGACACTGCCAATTGTAGTTGTTTAATTTACAGTAGATGCAAATATATATATATATATAGAGAGAGAGAGAGAGAGAGAGAGAGAGAGAGAGAATCATTGATGTTGCAAATATATGCTATATAATGTCCACAACTAGCTGTCAAACAGGGACACAGCCTCGTCAGGTTTATTTCTGTCCCAAAACCAATTGTAATGCTCCCTCTACCCCTGCCTAGACCCGTTATAAGGAAAACACCCCTCTTCATGACAAAGTTGTGCTCATTGTCCTGTGGGGAAACTGCCACTGGTCAAGCAACCAGTGGAATTTGTATGGATGGACAGGTTATGACAAGTCACCTTTTGTAGAGCCATTACAGCAAACAATAAATGTCACCAAGGGCCTTTTGTTTGGTGGGAAAGAAAGTAGGCCAGTGTGTAATTTGAATAAATACGTTGATAACATGAAGCAATACAAATACAGCTGGCTACCTCTATCACAGATTGTGTTTCATATGATATAGCTAGTAACGCTTTAATGACATGATTTCATTTGTGTTAAGCATGGCGCATGATGGCACGGTCAGAAGACATTGGCATGCATGCATGGTTAGCTTGCTAATGCTAGCTAGCTCCTACTAACAAGTTAGTTAGCTGCTAACGTTAGCTAGCTGTCAAACCTTAGTTTATCTTACCCTTGGACTGCGTCTTTAGTCATGACACTTATCATTCTTTTGGGAAGTTAACGTGGCTAGATATCAAACGTTTCTTGACTATTATTCCCTGATAGAGTCAACCCATCAGCTGTTCACAGAGCATGCTTGGGTGGTAGTAGAAGGACCTGCGTCCCTGTTCTTCTTCTTCTTCAGTGGGGTTTATCGGCAGTTGGCATCCAACGTTATGGTGCATTACCGCCACCTACTGTACTGGAGTGTGGGCCAGCGACAGGGAGAAACTAAATCCTACCCGACAGGCCCGCTCTTACAAAAAGATGACAAAATATTTGAGACTATATCCAATGACGTTCTACTCAATATACTCTTTAAACGAATTTCCTGTATCCCCTTCTCCCTTATACTAGATCTCATCTTCTCTCTTTCCCTCTGATACTACCCACACTGTAGCAATACATGCTCCACGGTCTCTGTTTCCTGACAATAATCACACTTTCCTGTTGGATGCTTTCCTATCACATTTAATGTCTTATTCAACTGGCTGTGTCCCACCCTTAATCTTGTAAAAATAGCCTCCTCTCTTCTGTCCCTTCCTGCCGTCCTCCCCTCCCCGACTTTCCTCTGTACTTGAAAGAAATGCCTTCCCTTATTATCTCTATTCCACTGCTCCTGCCATCTCTGCACCATCACTGTATATATCAGTCTTTTTGCCTGTGCCTTGCTCATTGAAAGTTCAACATCAACATCCCCACTACTAAGTGCTTGTTTAGCCAGTTCATCTACTGCCTCATTCCCCTCCACCCCCACATGGGCTTGGATCCAAGTAAATCTTATCTGTATACCCATCTGTTTAATCCTGCCATGGGTTTGTAGCTCCTCATAAAGCAGGTCTTGTCTGCTACGTGAGCTAAAAGACTGGAGACTCATTAACACTGCACATGAATCAGAGCAAATAACTACTCTGTCTTGTTTGACTTCCTCCACCCACTGCAGGGCCAACAGTATGGCCATCAGCTCCGCCGTATATACAGCCAGATGATCTGTATTACGTTTCCTGACTTCCACCCCACATTCCTGCACTACAAATGCTGACCCAGTATGTCCTGTCCTTGGATCTTTTGAACCTGCTTCCCTGATGCACAGGAAAGGAGTTTCACTCAATCCGGGTAGAAACTAGAGCAAATAACAATAGTTCCGCCAGCGCTGTGGAAATATCAACTTGTCATTTTTTAAAGATAATGAAAGATTGATAATATGGATGTTTGCACTTTTTATTTAAGCAGTAAGGCACGCGAGGCAGTGCTATATCATGAATACAGTCACAGGTAAATGGCATTGTATCAGGTCAGGCCAGTCAACCCATTTACCTGTGAGGGTCAATCAACCTATTTACTTGTGACTGTATTCATGATACAGCACTGCCTCGCGTGCCTTATTGCTTTTATAAAACTGTTACCCTACATATTTAAATAACAATGACTTACATATTTTCATTAACGTTGTACCATGGCATTGTTGAATATTTGTTTCTGATTGGCTTGAAGGGCATTCTAGAGCGTGCATTATTTCCCTATAACGCACGGTATATTTGCACGGTAGAATTCAATGGCTATAGTTCATTTAAAAATGCCAATTTGCCACGCCTAAGGGCTGTTCTTAAGCACGACACAACGCGGAGTGCCTGGATACAGCCCTTAGCGTGGTATATTGGCAATATACCACAAACACCCATTATGCTATTATAAACTGGTTACCAACATAATTATATAAGTAAAAATCTATGTTTTGTAATACTTGTGGTAAATGGTCTGATATACCACGGCTTTCAGACAATCAACATTCAGGGCTCGAACCACCCAGTTTATAATCTTACTTACAGTATGCCATGGCATTGTTGAATACTCCTTTCTGATTGGCTTGAAGGGCATTCTAGAGCGTGCATTATATATTTAAGTGATAATGCCCTCGAAGCCGGTGTTTGGAGGATACATTGGCACGGGTGTTGTTAGGCCCGAGATGAGGTCGAGGGCCGGCAAACCGTGCCAATATATCCTCCAAACACCGGCTTCGAGGGCATTATCACTTTTATACAACGGGTTACAAACATATTAAAATAATGATTGACATATTTTAATTAAAAACATTATTTTGATGAATTTATTCATACTATTTCATCCTTCTCCAAGATATAGCCCCGACACAAATCTAGGGTTGCTACCCAAGCCGGCTGGTCGTTCGTTCTATCGGTTCGGTTGCGAGATACTTTTTGTTCTGTATCTATGGACGTGACCCAGTCGTTCGTTCTAAATGTTCCATTGCCATACTGGCTGGCAACGTTCTTATCACTTGCTTGCTAGCTAGCCAACTACGGCTAACTTACAGTCATGTCAAAAAGTGCAGCCAGAATAACAGCAAAGTAGCTGCATTTGCATTTGTTCAAGCTGTTTTCTAGTGACATTTATTTGGATACATCCATGACAATGAGCTAATGAGGCGCGATATCACCTGGCATAGAAAATGTGTTCACTCTTCAGGACACTGTTGTTCAGAGGAGCTAGCCAACAACACAGCTAACACAATCACTTCAAACTGAAGCTGGAAAGACTGCAAACTAGCTGAACTTCGTTTCATTTGACCTTTTTTCAATTGACATTTCTTTGTATATTTCCATAAAAATTATGCCAGCTGATTCATGATTTCGACTGGCTGAGAAACGCTGACTGCCTGTCTGACTTGTCCCGATTCCCGACACGTTCATTACTATGGGACAGCTCGAGATCGAATTTGAATATTGAAACAATGTTGCAAATGTCGGAGAGGTTTATACAAATCTCGGCTGTTGAAAACGAAATGTTAGTCTGAAAGAAATGTGAGATAATGTCTAGATGCTTTTTATAGTGGAGATCAAGTTTATAAAAGTGCCTGGCTGGGCTGATGAGACAGTGGATTGCACAGTCAGATGGAACAGAGTAAATAGGCATTTTAACGTCATAGATTTAGCTGGTGGTAACTTGTGGAATAGACACTGGCTGGAATGCGGTTTATCCCAATCAGCATTCAGAGTAGAACCACCCATTGTATAATTAAGCAACAAGGCCAGAGGGGGTGTGGTATATGGCCAATATACCACGGCCTGGATACAGTCCTTAGCTGTGGTATATTGGCAATTCACCACAAACCCCAGAGGTGCCTTATTGCTATTATAAACTGGTTAACAATGTAAATAGAGCAGTACAAATAAATGTTTTGTCAATCAGCATTCAGGGCTCGAACCACCCAGTTTATAATTATATATTTCCCTGTAACACACAGTATATTTGCACGGTAGAATTCAATGGCTATAGTTTTAAATGTTTTGTTTGAGCTGCAACTAGTGGAACACACCTTCCACGTCATTCAGTATTTTTCCATAGAATGCATAGCCCCTAGTTGATTATCCCTTACATGTTCTATGTTTGAGCTGCTTTTGAAAGCAAAAGTCGAATTGAAAACATTATTGGCATTGTTGAATTCGATTTTCATAATGGCAAGCTAGGACCGATGGTTTGCTTAGCTAAACTAACAATTATGTTTGTTTTGTTACCACGGCAACTACTGTAGCTCTCTAGTAAACTTGCTTGTTACTTCAGTGGATGTTGAACACATTTCTACCTGCAAATGAACACATTTCTAGCAGCAAATGTGTTAAATTATAGTCATGGTATAAAAGGGATAATCAACTCGCGGCTCTATGCATTCTCTGGAAAATAATGCAACTCCATGGAAGGTCAGTTCCTCTTGGAACACACCTTCCACGTCATTCATTATTTTCCATAGAACACATAGCCCCATTATCGCTGACTTATTTTAAGTCAATTTATACGATTTCATTCTTCCGCCAGAAGATATAGTCCAGACAAAAATATGGTTGTTAGTTTTTTTGGTGTTGTTGCTACAGATGCGACCCAGTCTTTCATTCGTTTTGCTTAGTTGCTATGCAAAAGCATTGGTTGTCTGTTCTGAACAAAATGGTTGCTATGCAGGCTCGTTAATGTTCTTGTCACTTGCTAGCTAGCTAGCCAACTTCAACTAACTCAGTCATGTCAAATATTGAACCTGGAATGACAGTACACTAGTTGCATTTTCGTTTGTTTAAGCTTTTTTTCTATTGGCATTCACTTGGATATGTCCATGATAATAACATTGATGCGTGATTTTGACTGGCTCAGAAAAAGTTATCTCATCTTGCCTGGGCACCATTCAAATTCAAAAGTGAAACATTGGCAGGCAGTGTGGCTTATATTAACCCCTGCTGTACCACACACAACATGTACCACAACCTACAGCACCCGATGTCACAGGAAGGCCAAAAAAGATCATAAAGGACATCAACCACCCGAGCCACGGCCTGTTAACCCCACTACCATCCAGAAGGCGAGGTCAATACAGATGCATCAAAGCTGGGACCGAGAGACTGAAAAACAGCTTCTATCTCAAGGCCATCTGACTGTTAAATAGCCATCACTAGCCGGCTACCACCCAGTTACTCAACCCTGCACCTTAGAGGGTGCTGACATGGAATCACTAGTCACTTTAATAATGGAACACTAGTCACTTTAATAATGTTTACATACTGCTTTACTCATGTCATATGTATATACTGTATTCTATTCTACTGTATTTTAGTCAATGCCACTCCGACATTGCTCGTCCTAATATTTATATATTTCTTAATTCCATTATTTTACTTTTAGATTTGTGTGTATTGTTGTGAATTGTTAGATACTACTGCACTGTTGGAGCTAGGAACACAAGCCTTTCGCTACACCCACAATAACATCTGCTAAATATGTGTATGTAACCAATAACATTTGATTTGAACATGTGATCTATAATATATATACAAAAGTATGTGGACACCCGTTCAAATTATTGGATTCGGCTATTTCAGCAACACCTGTTGCTGACAGGTGTATAAAAGCACGAGCACACAGCCATGCAATCTCCATAGACAAACACTGGCAGTAGAATGGTCTTACTGAAGGGCTCAGTGACTTTCAATGTGGCACCGTCATAGGATGCCACCTTTCCAATAAGTCAGTTCATCAAATTTCTGCCCTGCTAGAGCTGCCCCGGTCAACTGTAAGCGCTGTTATTGTGAAGTGGAAATGTCTAGGAGCAGCAACAACTGCTTAGCCACTAAGTGGTAGGTCGCACAAGCTCACAGAATGAGACCACCGAGTGCTGAAGTGCTCACTGCGTAAAAATTGTCTGTCCTTGGTTGCAACACTCACTTCCGAGTTCCAAACTGCCTCTGAAAGCAATGTCAGCACAAGAACTGTTCGTCAGGAGCTTCATGAAATGGGTTTCCATGGCCGAGCAGCTGCACACAAGCCTAAGATCACCATGCGCAATGCCAAGCGTCAGCCCAACCTCACTAATGCTCTTGTGGCTGAATGGAAGCAAGTCCCTGCAGCCTTCCCAGAAGAGTGGAGGCTGTTATGGGAGCAAAGGGGGGACCAACTCCATATTAATGCCCATGATTTTGGAATGAGATGTTCGAGCAGGTGTCCACATACTTTTGGTCAATATTTTTTGAAAACAAATACATTTGCACAATGAGCACTTGTTGTCTCTCAAATACATCATTACAGTTGTTAGTTAGCTAGCTAGCACATTTTTTGCCATATTAGCATTGACATGAACTCAGTCAAAACACCTCAAAACAAGACATGGTATCAAAAACAAGATGCAACTAGTCACTTAAGATTCCCTACATTGCATTTTTTGTCATTGTTGGTAGCTATCTGGCCATCCAGAATCACAACACCTCACGGACTTCTGCCCCATTGAAGGTGCGCATCGTTTTCGTGACATTGTCGGCTAACCCATCTATTGTACTAGTCATATTAAATCAGGTACAGCTCAAGTATATGAAATAAATGAGTATCAAGTAGTTTATGTGTTTGACCCAGGTCCGATACACAGAGATGTACACAATACTGTTTTTCCCCAGTGTGACCCCACTGACATTTTCTTTTACATTAATGGCCTCAGCGACTAAATTACTTTGACACCCCTGCTGGGGGAGCATGAGTATTTTCACAGGCTGTTGGCCACAGGAGCTCCTGATGCAGGAAACAGTCTTCCTGCTGGTCACTTCCCAACTAAAACAATGTAACCGTTAATAATAGGTTAACGCCCCAGAGGTACCTTGTCTGTTTTTTTTACCAAAGCCCCCAACTCACAACACTATGTCACACCTCCGTAAGGTTAATATGAAGGTGATCTTGCTATTCCCCAATAATGTCATCCCACAAGTTTCCCCATAGCTAAGGATCAAATCTTGCAATAGAAGTGATCATTATACAGTATGTCGTCGACTGGAACCTATTAACAGTTGAATGCATATTGATAATGAACCCAGGATAGAAACAATTTCCTGTGCATGTCAACAGCTTTAGCCTTTAATTAACCTCTCAAAAGGACAAAGCATCCTATCCAAATGTTGACTCAAAATATTCTGTCAAATGTTTTCATTAAAACCAAAAATATTTTAATTTGAAACCATTGGTTTGTGTGGTAATCGTGATGGTCACATTAAAACTGAATTGTTCTTCTGTCAAAATAAACAAATAATTTATATAATACATACATTTCTGATCCCATATCAAAGGAACTGATCCCATATCAAAGGAACTGATGTTGCATCACCAAAACAGTAGTGCTTGATCAGTGACAAGCTTTGTATGATGGTATGAAGATGGGGTATCCTATAAAATAGTCTGGAAGCCTCCCATCTGTCATAGAGGTTTCCAGGTGGTTAAGAAGCAGAAATGGTGAGCCCATCTGAACTCAATGGAGTGTGAATGGCACTGTTCTCCCTCAGCTGAGTGGGGCAGCTGAGCTCTTATGCTAATAGGTGGACCATTCCAACACATTAACAAATGAAAAAGCACTTCTTATTTCATCCTGTTTTATTGTGAGCATACTATAAGAACATAGACTAAAAAATAACCATAAACTTCTGGGACTGATGGGGGTACTTGATACCTTTTTTTAAATGTAAAGATATGGTAATGCCTCCTAGTTGGACTCTGGTGAAATGACTGTGACCACCACAATGCAGTGAATCCAAACACCTACCTCATTTGCCATGGCATCCTTTGTTGTGGCTTCCTCCAGTCTCCAACTTGATCATCAGCCTTTCAGCCTTTCATCATTTCAAATGAATACATTCACCATAAACCAATGGATTAGGAACGATTAATGTGTCTGTCCGCTTATTCATTCTATTTCAAATTCTATGGGCCTACATGAAAAATAACCAGTGTGTTCCCTAATTTATTATTATCACAATTTCTCTTGAGCCTTTAGATTTCATGAAATATATTATTCATCTCAATCTTTGTTTGTCAATGTCAACAAATCACCAATCTGGGATTGGTTGGTGGACATCGTTCAGCATCTCTAATCATGAACTCAGATAGTTTAAAAATGACATCATTGAGTTGAAACACACTGGACCCCATTACGGCTCCCGAGTGGCGCAGTGGTCTAAGGCACTGCATCGCAGTGCTAGCTGTGCCACTAGAGATCCTGGTTCGAATCCAGGCTCTGTTGTAGCCGGCCGTGACCAGGAGACCCATGGGGCGGCGCACAATTGGTCCAGGGTAGGGGAGGGAATGGCTGGCAGGGATGTAGCTCAGTTGGTAGAGCATGGCGTTTGCAACGCCAGGGTTGTGGGTTCAATTCCCACGGGGGGCCAGTGTGAAAAAATAATTGAAAAAAATAATGTATGCACTCACTAACTGTAAGTTGCTCTGGATAAGAGCGTCTGCTAAATGACTAAAATGTAAATGTAAAATTACGTGCTCAGTACATTATTGGAGGAGGGGTGCAGTCGGTCTTATAAAAACATTTTAGGCTAACTAAACTAAACACACATTATTCTCTTACTCCAGCAGAAGCCATATGGGTGCTCATTCTGACTCGACCTCAGAGCTTTTGTACTGCCGCGGCTGATTAAGATGTTAAAGTGCACAGATGTTCTTGCAATTACAAGGCTCTCTGGTCAGTCCTCAGTCAGATAAGGTGGAGGCATTTGTGTTGGAGACCTGACACACCTCCCCCCTCTACTCTGACCTCTCCCTGCCCCCCAGGGGACATCCACTTGGAAGAAAAACAATTCGGAAGAAATTAACACCACACAGCGATTACATGTCCTTTCTCAAATTTTTATTTTAGAACACTTGAACAAAAATGCAATGACTTTGAAATGATACAAACACTTAATAACAAAATACGAAATAATGATAAAAAACGTTCAGCGTGAGCGACAGCAATAAATAATAACTTCTTATCACACAACTTAAGTGCGACCACAAAGGCAAACAACTATGTACAGATCTTTTAAAGAAAACAGATAGTATCCCATAGCAGGTATGAAGAAGTATTGCATGTCCCAGTGTATTGCTAGAACAATGGATCCTTTATAATGATCTGCAAGGAAATGTAGCAGGAGGAATATATACATTTGACAAGTCAATGGCCATCAGGCTCTGCCTGTAGATTTATATTGTCTATGTACATACAACTATTTTATTTACGGAGAATGAAAACTCAAGTGGCAACTACAAATAGACAAATCTTTACAAATGTATACAACTGTACAAAACGTAGATAGTCCCTGAAAATGAAGCTTAGTTTTACCCTGAAGGTTAAAAGTCATAGGTTGGTGACTATTAACTGGACATGACACTTGAAGACTCAGATTCAGTTGACACAGATGAAATGTGTCCTCTCTTTTTTGTCAGTATCTTATGACTTGATCTACTGCTGACAGTCAGTGCATTCAGGGCAGATTTCTTAAACTTAACTCCCAGGAAAGCATAAAGGATAGGGTTGAGACAGCAGTGAAAGTATGCCAGAGCCTCTGTGATTGAAATCCAAGTCTGCAGACTCTGCTCCAGGGCACAGCTATGTGAGATCACATTGAGCAACATCAGGGTGTCCACGAAGATCCCCACGCAGTATGGCAGCCAGCAGCTGAAGAAGCACAGGACGAGGATGACAGTGGTCTTGAGAGCCTTTCTCTTCAACACCTGACCCTTGGACCCCTGGGACAGCTTGGCAATGATGATGCAGTAGCAGGTGAGGATGACCAACCCGGGAAGGACAAAGCCTACCAGAATGTGCTGGAAACGGAACGCCGCCATCCAGTAGAAGCTAGTCTCCTCGGGGTAGATGCGTTGACAGGTGGTTCTGGAGCCTCCATCCTGAGCTGTGGCAAACACTATGTCAGGCACAGTGAGAACAGCAGCAGGTAGCCATACAGCCACATAGATCACTCTGTCTGCAAGCAACTTCCTGGTGGTTTGACTATTGGTGGCATGCACCACTGCCAGGTACCTGTCCACACTGATAAAGGCCAGAATAAGGACGCTGCTATACAGGTTGATGGTGTAGATCACATGCACAGTGGTACAGAGGAAACCTCCAAAGTACCAACTGCTGGCCGCATCCACCGCCCAGAAAGGTAGAGTGAGGACAAATAGGAGGTCAGCCACGGAGAGATGCAGCCTGTATTTATCGGTCATCGTTTTGACCTTTTTCTGGTAGCCCATCACTATCACTACCAGTCCATTCCCGACGATTCCTAACAGGAATATTATTCCATAAACCGTCGGTAAGAAGATCCTTTGAAAATCATCACCACCGACTCTGTTGCACGGTTCCTCATAGCCCAAGTCATAATCCCCTGATTCTTCCGAGCTGTTGTCGTTGTAAAAAATTATGGTCTGCAAAAAAAGGGGGAGAAAGTGTAAGTTTATAATTGTTTATAATACGTCTATTAAATCTAATAATTGGCTGTTTGTGAACATATAAAACGAAGGCAGTTATCATGGAATAATGTATGCCTATTATAGGGCTACTATATGGCTACATCTGCCTTATTTGAGAAACGTCCATAATTTAAAATAGCGGCCAATTATTGACGATATAATTTCAGAAACATAGTCTAATTGATTCTATAGAAAACGATGTATAGCCCTATCCCTATATTAAATCTATAGAGAGTATTAGGTACGTTTTTGAATGACTGAAATTGTAAACTCACCTCGTAATAAGTAGACATCGTGACTGAGTGTATGAGCAACTTTGGTGACCTGAAGATTTGAATGCGCCTAAATAGCCTACTCCCTTTGCAATACCCCCTAGCGCTCCTCCCAAAGGAGGAGCCCTTGGTCGCGTGTGACACCATGCTGTTTTTAGGGTTATCACAGAAGTGGCCGACCCCTCCTAAATGCATAGACTATGAGAAATCTACGTAGCCCCTCATTTACATTGGACCGATTCTACACATTATTTTGAATGACACGTAAATTGGTCTTGGAATCTCCGTGCACGGTGCATCTATGTATTTTTCTCACTATAAATCAACTATGCTCCTCGCAACATTGATTTGGAGTGCTGTCAGGCAGTTGCTGTGATGTGATTTGTCTGATAACAGTTTTCTCCAAACCCAGCCTCGACTCTTTCCACAGGTTGTCACTTTCTAAGTAGGCTACTGTTATGTCTGCACTTTCCAAGTGCTGATTGACCCAACGGATTTGAAATATCCCTCTCTCCCTTGTGTGCTCATTCCTTAGACAGAACATAACCCTCAACTCCATTCTTCTCGCCCTTTTTCAACCAAAGTACTCTCACCATCTCTTATTTCTGTTGAAGTAATCCCCAGCAAGGGTTGGGTGATGACAGGGGGGCAGGTTACTATGATCTTTAGTGAAAAAAATGGTCACTCTGTAACCAAATAGCTGAGTATAGCATGCAAAGTTATCCTCTTTGAAATCTGATATGACTGATTGATTGAATGAATCCATCCACTTCACCAGTTCAATGTACTTGGGTTGTAAACAAGTGTTTTATGCACCACACCAATCCCATCAGATACTGTACATAGTGCAGAGTGCAGACCAGCAGTTGATGTGGGTAAGAGGAGAAGAGGAAGCAGTGTTATTAGGAACCATTCTAACACTCTGTTATCTGCAGGTCCTGGACTCCTGAGGAGAGGGGCCGGAGAGAGAGAGAATGCCCACTGTATGGGAATGGATGTGCTGCTCATATCAAAGCTAGCCACTGGCAAACAGTTGTTTTCTGTTCCTTTGAAATCAAAAGCTGTGGTTGAAGAAGTGTGTGCTGATGGATTAAATGTAGAAGCAGTATCTTACTACATAAAAAAGACCATTACAAACACTTTTTGTGCCTTCAGTACAAATGTTTACCCAACTATTCATTGAATTTTATGTACACTCATGTTTTAGTAGATAATCCACTAATGCATGCAGGAACAAGATAGAAATTACTGTAAAATACATTAGTCTTGCCCACATTGTTTATAGTGACCCTTGCATGTACATCGACCCACTTTGGTTATAGAGACCCTAAAGCTAGATTGAGATATATCATGTTTGTGGAGATCATAAAAAAAATATAAATGTACTTGATATTTTCACTCTATTTGTTGTTTTCATTGGCATTCTTTTTTGCACAGTGTATAATGTTTTTCTGTTCCAAAAGACTGCAGAAAAAGTCTGCAGGTCTGCAGACCCCAGTGTAAGCTGCAGGAGCTTGCAGATAGCATTCAGCAATCAGAATACAAAATAACTATGAGCTACTTACAATACAAATCAGAAGTGTGAACAGCCGTAAGAGGGCTCTTCAGTCAAGAATGGGTATTAAAATGGGGTAAGAATGCAGGGGAGATAGAGAGAAGAATGAGCCATGCTTTTAGAGAGGTTGAGTCAACAATGGTTGTTTTCCAGTCACAACTCATCCATGGCCCACAGCAAGTTAGCAGAGAACATTTTCATCATGATTGAAGCGCTCCAATATCACCTTCACTTTTTTATTACCACATAGAAAATGAGATACACCCTTTGTTGTTACTTTTGGGTTTCCCCCAAATAAAGGGTTTTTGAAATACGCTTTTAATCTGTCTGTAAGGAATGCCAACTGGTTGCAGCATATTTAAATGGGTGGGTCTTCAATAAAAGTGTTTTGATTAATTACACAATATGGTTATTCTATGGATATTTGTCTTGAATGCATGTACATACCCATTCGATTCCTATACTGAAATATTAGGAATACAGTCTGGTTTACAGAGCTTTTCATTTTCTCTCTGTGTATTATGTTCTCTTTCCGATAGGTTGATTTAGCAGTTTAAAACATCTGTTAAAGACTTTGGTTTATTTTGTTGTTTGTTCCGACATGTCTAAACATTAAGGTATTCTCAGTATTCATATTGGAATGCACAACTCCAGTATCTAAAATGATTTTATCGGGGTACTACTGTTCTTCATGGTCTATGGAGTCTTGGGGGAGGGGAAGCTGTTTGCCATCTAGTAGGAGGCAGTCGGGTTGAGAGATCCCTCATGCTTGTTTTGGCCTGCTCTCTGTGCTTTTGTGCAAAGTTTGTCTCCTGTAAAGAGAGATGAGGTGCATAGAACATGACACCTGAGTAGAGGCGTTCATATCTGGGACTTATCACAACACCTCACCCATGAACAGTGGTGACGTAGACAATTAGTCATAAAAACAAACATGTTTTGCTTTACATGGCTCTAAGTAGCTGAAGTTAATCGGAATTCATGTAGGAGGGTGCCAGTAAAAAATGTAATTCCTCATTGAATTGGGACTCTTAAAGATTACGTTCTTCTTGTGTAGAATTTTTTTGTTCAGAAACTTCCGGAATGCATGTTTAAATGCTTGTGTTTATAGAAAGGCCAAAAATTTTAACAATAGACCCGCTTTAAGGACAAAGGTTGTCCTTATCTGAGGAAGGCACCTTCAGAAACGTCCTACTTGGGTGTGGGTGACTGTATTGACTTTAGGAAAGTTCCTCCACTGACATCACTGGTCACCATATGCTGGTTAGCAGGGCCTTTGCAGTATCTGCTACTAACTGTAAGTCGCTCTGGATAAGAGCGTCTGCTAAATGACTAAAATGTAAATGTAAATGTATCTGAATCACCCATCTGTCAGAAATACTACTTATTTGTAAAGTTCTGTTAAAAAAAACAACTTCAACCTTATGTATGAATTTAACTTTTTCAGACAGTTGTGAAACAAGAGGGGGAGACAGGCAGGTGGGATAAATAGTGGGAAGGGAAGACATGAGGATAGAAGAACCCTGGTCTCCGGTGGGGAGATGCAGATGTGTGGTTTGAGCTGGGGAGTGTTTACTGCTACACCACAGACTCTGCATGTGAAGTTCTGTTTTATCATTAGAGCAGATTCTCTTTAGAAAAAAATATGTATTCTGCTGTATTCTGCTGTTTTATGAACAACAGCCTATTTGTGTAATGAGAAATGCACCCAAACTTATCTGAACAAAAAGAGGTTTTGGTTTCACCAACTGTTTAGGGTGAGACCTGTCTATATAATGCTTACAAGCCAGCTCGTTGTTGCTGCTGGTCTCGGAACAGCCAGACAGACTCTTAGGCGATGTTTAGGATGGTTGCTGTCACAGAGTTGACAGCCTACTTCAAATCAAAGACTGGCACTGACTCATTGTTTAAATCTACAAATCAGTAATATGCAACATATTGGTGAAAGAGCTCATTGAGAATAAACTGACATAGTCAGCGTAACTCATTGTTGAAAAGTACTGTATTATTGCATTTTGCTGTGATAGCAGCTGCCTACATCAGAACTGGCAGTGAAAGTACAAGTGATGACTGTGTCCATCCTTCACTTCATGCTTATAAGCGGTCATTTAGTGCTTCTCATACAGAAATATAAATAGACCTGTATAAAGTCAGCAAACCCAACTTTCTCTGTACAGGCAGGGTCAAACAGGAAGTGGTAGGTTTTCAGAACATCTCTACCTCTACCTATCTCTACATCTATCAGTTATGTATAGAGCCATGTCATCGTGGAATGCTCTGCCACCAGAGGTTACTCAGACAAAAAGTTTAGCTTTAAAAAACGGATAAAAAATATACTGTATCACAGCACCACTCCTTTTTCTAAAGATCTAATTGAACTGTACTGTATATAAGAATATGAATATGTATATATGAATAGTGTGTAAATAGCATTTTTGTTGTCTCTTGGTGTCTTTCGTATATATAACTCATATTTTAATTTTTAATTTAGAATTGTATGTAATATCTTGTGATGTTCTTGTCTATTACTGTTCTGTCGTTTGTCATGTATTTGTATGTTTTATGTGGACCCCAGGAAGAGTAGCTGCTGCATGTGTAGTAGCTAATGGGGATCCTAATAAACTAAACCCTGATGACACAAATCCTGCCGCTGTGTGACCTGACACGGGTTCACTCAGTAGTAGAAGTCTGAAAAAAGGCATGAGCCAATCAAATTGAAATAGGTGACACTACCCGTGGGGCTGTTGGGGAAATGTATATCCAATTGGCTTGGAGCCCAAGTATAAGCCACAGCAGTGGTTGAGAAACGTAGTGCTATGTTTTATAAGGGAAGGGTGTTCTTTCTGTGTCCAAGATAAATGCAACATGGGTTCCCTTTCCCTTGTTACTAACGGCTAAATTGTGGTTTGCGGTGTGCAATAGCCTTAACAAACATCCAGAGAAGGCGCCAAGTCTTCTTTTGTGAGACCTCAGATACTACAGTTGATACTACAAAAATAGACCATGCAGCTCTAAGAATTCTGCATTTAGGCCTACCCTTCTCTATGTAATCATGAATTTCAGTGGTTGATAAAATCATTCTAATTTAGTAATTTTTGGTGCTCTAGAAGATAACTGTTTTCTGCTTCAATGTTCAATGAAGGACAGGTGATTTAGCATATAATTCAATAGCTCCCCGTCAGTCTGAGTGATTCTCCTTCAGTGCTCCTCTTTCCATCGGCAGCAGGAGAGCTCTTTGCAGCACCTATTTGTGACAGAAGGCACTGAAAGGGATCACCACAGGCTGCCTTTCAAGCTTTCACTGGTCTGAGACCATCCATATGGCCTGGGTAGCTTTTAGAGGAGAAGGAAGGCCCCGTCCAACGTATAGGCAGGTCACCAATGCCCTGATCTACTTAGATAAGAGGAACAATAGTCCAGATGACAGTAGATAAGGTTTATAGACAGTCTGAGGAGAACAAGTCAT